GTTATACTGAAAGTAAATTGTAGAGAGGCAGAATACACAACATACAGGGAACCAGGATCAGGGTAGCTGATGCCGAGTTGAGAAAGACCATATATCGTCAGGATGGGCGAGGAGAAGTTTACGAGGTCCATAAGGGAGAAAATCTGAAGCACATAAACGCCAGTCAAACCCAAAGAAGGTTCAAGCGCGTCAAGAAAGTGAGTCACAAATATCTACAGAAGAGACAGTGGTGCGGCGACAGGAGCGACTTAATAAAGAGCGGTCTAGCGTGATCTGCGCTACTGATACGGATAAATATGAGTTATATATCTGACATAGGTTGTAGAATTTTATTTTGCAGATGTGAGAAACCGGAGGGAAAGGAAAAACCAAGAAAGTGAAACAGTAACAAAAATGAGTGGACACTGAAGGATATAAAGGTCAATTCAAAGATCTACAAATGGTACATTTAGAGCAGTTTCCATATTTTACAAAGTGCATAACTTTTCAAAAGACAAATTCTTCTTCTTATGGCCACGAGTTCGTTCTTTACACTACCACTACTATTAATACAAAGAAGAAGTTACCTACTTTTATAACAAGTTGTACAGACTACCGACATTTATTCGTTTTTAGAATCTAGTTGTAAACTCCAGCTGTAGAACTTCTGGGGCTATTGCTGACCAGGACAAAGGAGGAGGGTCGTGACTGGTGTTGGCAACCCCATCCATCAAAAAAGCTAACTCGCTAAAAGACGTTACCAAAGAAAAAAATAATTCGAACCATCTTCACTACTATCTAACATTAAGAAGATCTTCATTCAGAAGAGTAATGTTGTCTGGTGATGAAAGCCGAGTTGCTTCGAAAGTCACGAGGCCAGTAACCCTTCTCACAACCAGAGCGACCATTTTTTTAGTACATAGAACGTTTGAGAGAGACTGGAGACTGGAAAACTATTTGAAGTTGCTTTAGAAATGGAAACATACAGCCTGAAGATGCTTGGAGTCAGTAACAAGCACTAGATGCAGGCTGTACAACTGAGATTAGCTTCAGGAGAACTGCTGTTATACTCTGGTCATGAAGAAGAAAATGCTTCACATACACAAGGAGCTGCACTGATGCTGTCCAAACATGCAAAAAAGGGAATCTCATGGACCCAGGATCATTAAAGAATCCTTCAAAACAAAGAAAGAGGATATTACAATAAACATCATTCAATGATACACACCTGCCGATGACTACGATGACGACGTTGAAGATCAATTCTGAGAAATGCTACAGTCGATCGTCGACAAATGCTCACCAAAAGATTTGACGATTCTAATGGGAGACTTGAATGCCAAGGTTGGAATGGACAACACTGGATATGAAGACATCATGGGACGACATGGACTGGGAGAAAGGATCGAAAATGGTGAGAGATTTGCAAACCTATGTGCCTTCAACAAACTGGTCATCGGTGGCACAATATTGATAAAAACAAACGCATACACAAAGCCACATGGATTTCACCGGACCACACTACTCAGAACCAAGTCGACCATATCTGTATCAATAAAAAGTTCAGGACTATGGAGGATATGAGAGACAAGAGCGCAGATGACATAGCCTCATAACACCACATGCTGATCACCAAATGAAACTGAAACCGAAGAAGCACTGGACAACGGGGCAGACAACATCTTACTTACTTACTTTGGTTTACTTACGCCTGTTACCCACAATGGAGCATAGGCCGCTCACCAGTTTTCTCCAACCAACTCTGTCCTGGGCTTCCCTCTCCAGTTCTATCCAATGTTTGTTCATTACTCTCATATCTTTCTCTATTTCTCGGTGTAATGTGTTTCTTGGCCTTCGGCTTTTCCTCTGACCTTGACGGTTCCATGTGAGGGCTTGTGTCGTGACCCAGTTAGGTGCTTTTCGTAGTGTGTGTCCTATCCACTTCCACCACTTCTTCCTGATTTTCTCCTCCACTCGAATCTGGATTGTTCTCTCCCACAGTACGCTGTTGTTGATGGTGTCTGGCCAACAAATCCGAAGTATTTTACTAAGACAGCTGTTAATAAACACTTGTATCTTCTGGATGATGCCTTTCGTAGTTCTCCAAGTTTCCACTCTAAATAGTAGAACTGTCTTCACATTTGTACCGAAAATCCTGATTTTGATTTTGGTTGAAAGTTGTTTGGAGTTCCAGATATATTTCAACTGTAGAAATGCAGCCCTTACTTTGTCGATCCGCACCCTCACATCTGCATCGGATCCACCTTGTTTGTCGATGATGCTGCCAAGATATGTAAAGGTGTTGACGTCCTCCAAGGCATGTTCATCAAGAGTGATTTGGTTGGTGCATGTTGTGTTGCATCGGAGAATTTTGCTTTTTCCTTTATGTATGTTGAGACCTACTGCTGCAGAGGCTGCTGCTACACTGGTCGTCTTCTCTTGCATTTGTTGTTGCGTGTGCGATAGAAGAGCCAAGTCATCTGCGAAGTCCAGATCGTCCATTTGCGTCCTAACTGTCCAGTTGATACCGTGCTTCCCTCCAGATGTCGATGTCTTCATAATCCAGTCGATTGATGACCAGAAGAAAGAGAAGGGGTGAGAGTAGGCAACCTTGCCTGACACCGGTCTTCACCTCATAGGAGTCTGTTAGCTGTCCTTCGTGTACGATTTTGCAGTTGAATCCATCATAAGAATTCCGTATGATGTTAACTATTTTCTCAGGCACACCATAGTGTCGAAGAAGTCTCCTCAGTGTTTTCCTATCCACGCTATCGAATGCTTTCTCGTAGTCGATGAAGTTGATGTAGAGTGATGAGTTCCATTCAGTTGTTTGTTCCACAATGATCCGTAATGTAGCAATTTGGTCAGTACACGATCGATCCTGACGATATCCGGCCTGTTGATCTCGAAGTTGGGCGTCTACGAAGTCCTTCATTCTGTTTAACAATACCCTGTTAAACAGAATGAAGGCTCTCTGAGCTAAGATCATGTGCAGACAACATCACACAAGTTTAACACAGCCTTTCTTCGGGATACCGTAAAACTCAACGAATTCAAAATAGCCCTCACCAATAGGTTCCAGTCCTTGCACGATATACGCAGTGGAGAGGAAGCAACATTGCAGAACAATTGGAAAGGGATTAAAGAGGCAATCACTTCAACATGTCACGAAGTCCTGGGTCATAAGAATTACCATCACAAGGAATGGATGTCTGTTGGTACTCTTGCTTAAATTGAAGAAAGGAGGAACAAGAAGGCAGTAATCAATGTCAGCCGAACAAGACCAGAGAAAGTTAAAGTAGAAGCTCCATACACAGAAGCAAACAAGGAAGTAAAGATGAGCATCAGAGCTGACAAACGGAAATATGTGGAGGATCTAGCAATAACGGCGGAAAAGGCTGCAAGAGACGGAAACATGAGACAATTGTACGAAACAACAGAGAAGCTGGCCGGAAACTATCGTAAAGCAGAACGACCAGTGAAGAGCAAGGAAGGGATAGTAATCATCAACACTGGAGAACAGCGAAATAGGTGGGTAGAGCACATTAAGGAACTATTGAATCGACCAGCTCCACTGAACACACCCAACATCGAAGCAGCATCCACCGACCTCCCAATCGATGTTGGCGCACCTACGATTGAGGAGATCAGTATGGCTATCAGACAAATCAAGAGCGGCAAGGCAGCAGGACCAGACAACATTCCAGCAGAGGCAATGAAAGCAGATATAGAAACAACTGCGAAAATATTTCACATTCTCTTCAAGAAGATTTGGGATGAGGAACAAGTACCATCAGATTGGAAAGAAGGATACCTGATCTTGAATCAATCCGAGACATATTTAGAACTATTCGTTGGACCAGTCTTACCTGTTTTTGCTCAGTAGCTATATTACGCTTACAACAGATAGTAAGTCATGATTTATCGAATGTATTCGGCACCTCTTTGTTCCAGCTTTACTCAGCTTTCTTGCCTTTTCATCTAAATGTCTGTCTGAGCAAATAACTGCCCGTGATAAACCTACCTCGCTTAATATGTATTTGACTTACCAGTACCATCGTCTCTCAAACGTAGTGAGACTACGTGAAATATGAGTAGTAAAAGGAAGATTTATGGCAATATCATATTTATTCTTTTTAATGAAGGTTGGGAGTTCTAGCAGTCAATGAACAACGCTTACTGGTTGATGATAGGAGATGGTCAGACAGCATATGTCACAGTAGTCTGTTACGGTTGCATGACTGAGTGCATTCAAATAGGATGTGTCAACTAAAACTGATGATATGGGTATAAATGATGAAAACCTACATCAGTACTTATTTTGGAGATCTATTTACCGCCTCCGGCTTTTTCAGCAACTTCGTTTTCACAGCCGTACATACGCAAATGTATATGTCTGTATCTAGATAAGGCAGGATTTGTAGTGTGACGAAAAGTTTGAACAAAAACCGCGCAAACGCTAAAATAAAATCATTCAAGTTTATGAATGAAGAGCCAGAGGGGTTAAAATAAGCCGAAAAAAGAATTGATTAGTTTGTACAGATGTTAAGTGACAGTTACGGGAGCCATATAGCTCAAAGCATTGTTACAGTAAGGGACTGTGATGACATTGTTCTTTGGTTTCCATCAGCTTTAAGGAGCTAAATGTTGAGATACAAAACAAAATCACTTACAGTAGCTGCTTAGAAAGAAAAGGGAAGTGTAAATGTTAACAGATTGCTTCAAGTAAAGTATGATAAAATACATCACATTTTAACCAGGCTTCCCGTTTTACAGGTTTTGGTCTTAAACGATGAACTATTTTCATACTAGCGTTTGAGAAACTAGGAGTTAACAGTGACTGATATCTACTACTTGGTGTCGATGAGGTTACTCAAACGATTGTTCATAAATGAAGGCGAAAACGGAGCTGTTTAATTTAAGCTTGCTTGATATGGAATAAGGTTTATAAAAGTATGATCGTTATCATCGTAAAAGGTCGGTACAAACATCGAGCATAAATTTGTTTTAATTCGCCGAAGAGACAAGATACGTACTAGTTGAGAAGCGGCTCATACAAATCACTTACCTTCAACGGAATTTGTACGTTAAGAATGAGTGATGATTCGGGATATGATATATGCGAATGCATTCAGTCGCATGATGGGGCTATGCGTCAATTATTGGGGATATTAAGACGGACTCAAGAATATTGCTCTGACAGTTCTTGTGTTGACGATCTGTCTCAGACGCCTCAGAGTAGCCAAGACCCAATGTCAGGTACCTACGTTATGACGTTTGTGGCAATGCTAGCCGTTTTCGCTGCGTTCTTATTTGGCTTGCCACGGTTTCGGTCCTCAGATGGAAAGCCTCGCAACAATTTCCAAGTAAGCTTACTGAGTATCCCTTGGTGATTTTAGATAAGTTAGGCTTTACCCTCAGTACAATTTTTTTTATCCTACAAGTGAATTTCTGTTTTCCGTTTGATTTTTGTTTTTGAAGAATTTATTAGTGTGTCTCAATTTTTCTCAGGCGACAGCTTCATAAGTTTCATGTGTGTAAATCTGACAAATTAGAAATTTGTTATATAGTCAGTTGAGTTCAACTCTAACTTTTAGTTAAGTGTTTTTATACAGAGCACTAGTTTTCATCGAGTCGGTTGTTGACTGTTTGATGAAACCTTTTGTCTATGATTCACTGTTTATTGAATAAGAAATTATTGCTGTGCTACTTACCAATTACAGGTTTATGTGCTTTAGTCTAAGCTGCATTATAAATGCTGATAATACCTTTTAACTTCCAAAATCAAGTTATGGTAAATGGAATAGAATTGTGTGGTTTAATGATAGTAAGTTCAATACTCTGTTTACACCTTTTTAGAAAATTAAGCATGTTCAATGTTCTTGTTACGATGTTGTGTAAAAATTTAAATATCGTTGATAGTACTGAAAGATCATCCGGCGTTTGATAAACTTCTAGTTAGATACTAACTTCACTTATCAAGTCTTGATCTTATTCAACAGGGTGCTATATTCGAGTGTCAAACCCATTCCTAAGTTATTATATATATATATATATATATATATATATATATATATATATACATATATATATATATCCGGTTAATAGATATACTTTTTCTATGTCTAGATGACTTAAATAAACTATGATATCTAGAATTAGTCAGAATCTTAAACGATTTGTTTTGGTACAGAAATATGGTTACTAGTGTGAGTTGTATTTATTTGACTATCTATTTTAATCAGTCGATAACTTTGGTTGGTGAAAGTATTCCACACTAACTACCTTGGTCAACCTATCAGTTGGTCAAAAGACACTATCTGGTTATAAAATAATCGGCAATACACAACAATAAAATGACCTAAGAATATTAGCTTCAATCTCAGTAATCAACCTGCATATGTTGAATTGTTTAGGAGTTAGGAACTGGGCTAAGATTGTCGCCCAACAGACTAAGCATAATGCAAAAAGAGATTAGTGTTGGTTTGGTGTTCCGAGTTTGATTCATTAATTAGAGTTATATTTGTAAGGCAATGACTTAAATTTTAATACGACTCTGCTATTCTTCCCTTTACCAACACCTGAAAGGATTGAGATTTAGAGTAAATGTTAAATGAGGTGAAGTTCATCCGGTTTCACAAAACACTCTTGGCTATTCATTAAATTTCATCAAGCACTTTACCACACGATATGCCTTAAAAGTAGGCATGTTTCGTAATTTAGCTTAACTACCATTGTCAATTTTCACTTTGTTATTGATAATAAATTACAAATTAAATGTCATTTTTATACTTTGTATTTTAATCAAAAGGGACCAAATCGTGATCCACCAGCAATTTCATAAATCTCAAAAGAGATATAAATCATCTACACTACCACTGTGATTTCTTTATCCTTTTCATCAATGAAAAAAAAGACGAATAAAAGAAATTACATTATGCACACACACAGACAGACAGACACAGAGAGAGATTTGTAACTTTTTAAAGATACTTATTCCTTCTTTGCCTTTCTTTTCTTTGTCTTTTTTACTTAAAATAAAAATTAAAAACAAACATTATGCTAACCAAGATTGATAAGCAAAGGTTAAATTGGAAATAAATTTTCAAACATTTCCATTTTATTTCTTTTTTTTTTATTACTTAAAAAGCACATACATTGATTGACAGCTACAAACATTGTTTGGTTAATCTCACTAAATTTGTTTTGGGTAAACACACACACTTCTCTTTTTTTTTATAAAAAAAATAACCTATTTGAGTAGTATATGCTTGTTTGTTGGTAATTTTTGTCCCGCTGTTTTGTTTATTTTTTCTGTTTTGAATCATTCATGTCTTTTGTTTTGTTTTGTGTTTTTTTGTGGTTGTAAAATGAAAACTGAGGTTTATACGCTACAAATTACGATGTTTATTTCTTAATATGAAAATGATGATCCCTCTTATTCTTTCATGAATGATATAACTTCTTTTTTTTCTTTTTTTTTTTAAAGTACTACTAACTAATGTTTAATGATTGTTTTCACAGAAAAAAAAAACTGAACGAGATACATGTAACCTTTATTATTGCATTGATTGTGTTCTCTTTCAATGATAGATAGACAGACAGACAGATAAATACGTATAACTACGTACATAAGTAAGTACATCAGTTCAGGTTGCCATACCACTGCATTAGCACAGAGACGTAACTGTCAGTTCAAATCCAAGAGTGATAGCGATATTGGAAGAATTAGCAGTAATGGAGAAGATTAGGGAACGAAGATATGATTCGATAAGTATAATTCAGTGAGAAAGATAGAGATGATGATAAATTCAGAAGGTTAGAATTAGAGAGAACACAAAGAGTGAATGCACCTACGCAATTACAAACGACTCTGAGCCATGTCGCTCAAGGTCTCTAACCATTGGTGGCTTTAGTCTTGCGGACCCCAACCAGGTAGCCTTCTCTTTCAATGACTTCAATGTTGTACGCATACTAAGTTAATACTAATGGATTGTTGATTTGGAACGACCGAACCAACGTATTGTATCACGTCATTGTCTGCCCTATTTAATCTCTTTCGAAAGAGTAATGTCAGCAATTATGGTTGTAGATTTGGACAACATATTTTAGACTTGATAGGAATTTCGTAATCTTATGTTCATGTTTAATGTCCAAAAATGAATGTGAGAAGAGTTAGTTGTGGAGATAAGAATGTAGGGAATGTAGGAAGGATTTGATTTTGAACAATTTGGTCTCGTGTGCTGTTGCGGGTATGAGGGCGGTTATCGCTTCCCGGCTGCCTACACCGTGGAAGGTTGTTTCTTGAGGAATCTGAAAAGGAAGATAGATTAGTGTTGGTCTCGGAGACCTGGTTGCGTGACCGCAGAGTCCAAGGGACAACTGCTTGAGGCCGGTCACGCACGGCCTTTTTATGAAAGGTATTTTGAGGATTAGCTCCGTTCTTAAAGGCCCTTAGTGGGCACCCTTACCCAAGGAGATGGAAATCCGTGAGTTAGGGGAGGTGTGACATTTTTAGGGCCGACCTTTTCTAACCCTTCCTTCCTTGTGAGAAGGCAGCATCGCTGCAGGTGCTGGTTGTCCGAGGGAAACACCTTACTGTTGTCACACCCCTCTGCAGTCAGCAGTACGACTTCGCCCTCAGACCTTGGGTAGCTGCTTTTAGTCTCATCGTTCTCCAATCGACCAGCCTGGCATGGTAGAACCTTGAGGAACATATGTTGCAGCCAGTATAGCTCGGTTGGGTCATCACGATAGGCAAGCCCGACCACCACGTCAAGGTAGCAGCTTCGGTCGGGTCCAGTTTGATGGCATTTGAAAAAGTCATTTATCCTATATTCACTGCCATTCATATGCTTAGCTTCCAATTCGGCCTTTTTATCTTGGTAATTTCACTTGATTTTACTGATGTAATACATGTCAATTTGGACCAGTATACGTTTATATTAGGTCATGTATTATTGAGAACTGATTGAAATTTCAGAAATCAGTCTTATTAGAACGTGAACTCGATACGTATAAAAGTATGTTTTATTGTAAACAGAAAGCTAATTAACTAGTGGGATATCCAACACAACATGTTAATCATTTAACAGGGACATAGAGAGTTTGGCATATTGTACAAAATCATGTATCAGTTCAAGTTATTTTGCTCTGAGTTATAGCTGAAGAATATGACACTACAAAAGGATGCAATGGTTGAGTTTAGAATTCGGTCGTGCTTTACTGTTACAAACAGTCAATGCTCTGGAAGTGCATACAGTTATCTGTTCCTATTTTAGGCACTATACAACAATAAAAGGTCAGAAATTCAGGGGTAAATGGATCAGGTATAATACTATGTTGAAATTCAATTTGAAAGAGTTGTAGAATATATTCACTTCATCCACTATAAGTGATTCTACATATCCAACTATCAGTGCTACTTATCTCATAAATCTTCTACTGAGAATTTTAGTTATATCTGATCGTTAGTTACACAGTGTGACACTTGACCGCGCGTCATTATAAAGAACCGGTTCGATTCGCTCTACCTGTATCTTCAGACCTCGCTGCTATTTCCCGTGGCTTCGTTGATGTAGATGTAGCACTAAGTTGAAAAAACAAGACTGACTCTCCTATACTGGATTCCAGTAAACAGTCGCTTGTGCACTGCCTGACCAAACGAGACAGTAGGAACTCTGAAAGATAAGGACACGTTGCTGTTTCTGTCTATGCTCCCACTAATTGCAGCTTGAAGCTTTTTAGCCCTTAAGAAACCAAATTGTGTGGCTGATCATGCCCAAGAAGGTAAACTGAACCAAGTTCATGGAAGATTCGCTCGTTTTAGACTCAAACCATGATTTAGTACCGAGCACTTATTTGTCTACGTCTTTCTAGACGTAAAAAATTCACAGCATAAATACCACTTGGAGTTTGACTTAATGATCAAAAGGCGAAATATTTCATAAACCACTATAAAACCAGTTAGTCAGCCATGTAAATCGTACCCACCCCAAGGCAGCTTGTAATAAAATTCCAAAAGCAGTGATATCTACCAGTAAATCATACTAACAGGCTGAGGATAACCAGCGGATTTCAGCTGCATCTACCGGATTAATAGACGGTCGGTAACTTGTTTGCACCAGTTTTGAACATGATGAAGAACGAAGGCAGCTTAAACACAGGTTTATAAAAAGCCTAGTCAATAATTTTGGGATGTAATAGGTAGTGTATGCAAAGAAGATGGAAGAGTCAGTTGTGATAGGTAACAGTAGATAACCGTTCACATTGATTACGAAAACAGGTACTAGAAATCAGACAGTGGGACTATCTAGAAAGAAGTATGTCATTATTAATTAGTCTCAATCTGGAAGACTGGGCCAATGGACAGAGTACTAGGGATTAGTTCGGCTGCCCACCATCTCCAAATAACGTGAATGGCAAATTGATGTAAGACCTCCGACTCTCATATTGGTTGAAAGGCAATCTAAGGCAAGGGAGAGCAACAGGCACCGATAGATTAATTCCTGAGATTTTTAAGGATGGTGGTCCAGTTTTAACAGTTAGATTTATTGAGGTCTTAGGTCGAATCTGGGAACTAGAAGTGATCCTTCCTGGCTTCTCTCAGTCGCCGATAGTTCCAGGACAAAAGTCCTACCTGTGGTAATCAAAGAGTACTCAGTTTAACTAATTTAGTGTCCAAACTATTAACTTCAAAATACTTTAACCATTAGAAGTCATGAAGAGCGAACTGGAAAAAAACCAGGCTGGTTTTCGACCTGGACGTGGATGTGGTGAACCAGATATACACACTTTGTCAGATCCTAGAACATAGGCGCGCGTTTCGGTGTCCAAAAATAATTGTGTTCTTCGATTGTAAGGCGGCATTTGACTCTGTCAATAGTGAGGTTTCTATGGCAGTGTCTGTCACCGAAAGGTGTACCAGAGAAGTACGTTAACATTAATACAGGCCCTCTACTCGAACACTACTGATCGAGTGAAGACTCTGACAAAAGGCAGAGTCTTCTGACTAACTTAAGCAACAATACAAGCATGTTATGGATGCCATTATTCTCCTTGAAGTGCAGTATTGCTTCAGGATTCGGTTTTCATCGGCACCTGAACTAATGAAAAAGGGAGTGAAAGTAGTTGAGTATGCCGACCGTTCGTTATCTGTGGGGAAAAATATATACTTTTTCTTCAATTTTCAAAGTGAAAAAAAATAAGTGTTTCATGGAAGAGGGATTTATCTTGATGACGAATATGTCATATATCGTTTGAGGTTTTTGATGTTGATTGCTGTCGCAGTCTGTGCTATAGTTTAGTAGAAAAAATCATTAGTACAAGAGGAATGGAGGGGGGGTCAATCAGATGTTTGTAGAACTCTACTCTGTTAGGAAACATCCTTTCTTTTGTTGTGAATTTACATATAAGATAACTATGGTCGATGAGTCAATCTACTTATTCAGGTCTATCGCAGACATGGTTTCTATATGGGGCATAAATTCTTGAAGCAATATTTTATAATAGGCATTCAGTGATCATTTTTGTTATAAGTTGTGATATAGTGTACAACGGCATTCGAAGCGTACTGCTAACTAGCTTTTCTTATGGTTTAGTGCGTCTGGCTATTATATCTGTTCTTAGTGCTTGTCTATTTATTTATTTCGTAGCATGGATGTTAAGTGGCATCATGTCTATGTGCTATTACTGAGTCGTCGGCTCATCTTATTTTTCTGGGCTTAGTTCTTTTCTTCTTACCAAATAATTATCATTATGCTGCTCTCTACCTGGCGCCTCTCTACGACGTTGTAGGCACACACAGGTACATTCCGGTTAACGCACACGCAACCAAAGTCTGAAGTTTTACCATATAGACTCATGAAACGTTTTGGGTTTATTATACATTCTAAATTGGTTATAGCGCGACGTTTGATTAAACTTATTTCAGGTCAGACAGTCATTTGTATCATTAAACAACTTAGCTGGCACGCATTGTGTTTATTATTATTTGTCGCGTTTGTATAGGCAGTATATTGAAAAAAAAAAAGCAAAGAAAAAAAATAGATTGAGTATTGCTACGCGCCTATGTGTGATACGATTCATTGCTATTCTGTCTTTAAGGTTAGCTCTGCATCTAAATAATCCATAATGAATCGGCTTATCTATTTTCCCTTTGTATTTATTTGGCAAAAGGCATTTTAATCCTTTATGTACTGACTTGGCTTGCTACATCTTGTTCGGGGGCGCTCGTATACTCGTTTTGCGCTTGTGTGCGGTCTTGTGGTATTTGTGATATGTATTGAGCTGTGCGATAATAAACGCATGTTAGATGTCTACGTATTCGTCCTTTCTGTATTGATGACACCGTTAGGCTGTATCTATATCGATTTAGCAGGACGAGCTTAGTGTACGGAAGTTTAGATTGAATACGTATGCTGTATTATCGACCATTCACAGATAGTGGTGAGCCGCATATTAGCTCGTCACCAGAATTGAGTATATCCTGAAATAAAAACGCAGTCCCAAAAATTTCAGATTCTCTTAACACCTCATTGGCGTATTGATTATTAAAAATATCTTTC